GAGGATGGGGCTGGGGAGAGGCACACTGTGCAGCAATCAAGAAGCAAGGAAAAACTGTAACAGGAGATATCTCATTACGGCAAATACAGCTCCTCTCCCATGGTGGGTCTCGCGGAAACTGCTGTTGCTGCACGCTGTCTTGGACAGAAAAACCCTCACCTCCATCACCTTCACCTTCATCGTCCGAGTCGTAGTTCCTCAGCAAACAGTTCATTCTATTTGTCATCTGTTGCATTTCAGCTTCAGTAGGAGCGGTATACGTAATATTCAGACGCGTGTTAGGCTAAAAGCACACAGAATTAGCAGAATGTTACAAGATCGAGTTTGAAAAATGTAGCTCAAAGAAGATCGTTGAGTAAAAAAGGAAAAAAGAGTTGGAAAATACAAAACAGCTGAAAACTGACAACACGAAACCCACTTTCTCATGCGCAGTACGGCGCCGTCGTGCCAACCGTACTTTGGTTTCTAGTTCATTATAATGGAAACATCCATCCTTGTAATAAACAAAGTAGTTATCGCGCTCAAAACCTTTCGTGTTCTTATTCTTCACTGTCCACGTGTACTCTCGATTTAATATATGCTCATATCTGTAAAAAGTCCATTAAAGTCGGGAATTATAAGCAGATCAGTGAGAACTTACACAGCTCCTTCTTCAAAGCTTCGACCTTCTTCCTTATCGTGAAGTGTCTTTTGGAGAGTTTCTACTGTTGGAATGAAATGAGCTACAAATTGCTCGCCATCGTCGTCTTGCATGCCCCTGAAACGATAGGAATTGATTATCACAAAGTATTCAGAAAAATTACCAGGAAGTATTACTTGATGTAACTTTGTGTAACCATACTATCACACAGCTCGGGTGCGAAATTCGTAGGCGTTGGATCAACATCGAACTGCACCACCGCGAACGGATACTTCCAAAGCTGAAAAACTCAAAACTAGTTCGAGGCTTTGTTCGCTCGGTACTTCGCACGTACTCAAGTCCAGGCTACATTTGCATCGAATTTCGAAAATTTGAATAGAATTTCCCTCGCGGAAGCAGCTTGACCTTGCGAACTCGAATTTAACGCGCTTGGTGCCAAAACGTCCGGTGAGAGCGACAAATTTTCTGCGTTAAGGAGTCATACTGGTCCCAGAGAGTAAACTTGGCGCTAGCAGCCCTGAAGGGAGGAGGGCGTACAAAGAACTAACTATGTAAATCTACAATTATGGTCATTCGAATAGAATTCACTCACTTCAAAGCTGCCTCCCTCTTTTAGAGTTGGGCGAAAATCCTTAACGCCATAAGGAAAACCCTTTCTTTCACAAGATGTTCTTCAAATGCGTTCCACCCTCCTCCCCCACTTCTCCCCACCCCATAAGGTAAAGCGCCCATAC